ACAGGATTAGATTGCATCTTTTTAAGTAGAATTGATACTTAAAATCTGTCCCAGCCGCCGCTACTTTATTACAGGAGTATCCTACTGATCCAGGAACAATAATTTAAAATAATAATAATTAAAAAAAATAATTTAAAGATAATATAATAATGTTGTGTAGTCTTTTATACTGTAGACACAGCACACAGTTTTACTCACTGAAAGATTTATTCGTCATAAAATAATTACTTCATAATTGTATTCGAGTCTTACACACATGCTATACAGATAATGTAGAGTCGTGCATTAATTTGAGTGATGACAGATATTATGGGAGTGGCTTGATGGAGTGCAGGAGATGCAGATAACATGATCTTGACCCTTAAGAAACTTTAATTAATGCTGTCACGTAACAAATCTGTTCAAATATAAAATTAAATTAATTGCTAATTACTACATTGAAATAAAAATGTAAAGCCTGTACAAATATTATAAATCGTGAATATAAATAATTGGGAATCATGTAAAAAATGAAAATAAAAACATTGCACATTTCATTTATCTATTATAAAATTTATGTAGTTTTGTTCGCTTGGTTGTTTCCTTATAAAAGTCCAGAAATGTGTCAAGTTTTTCGTCAGGTGTCTTTTTTAATTATATGATGTCATTACGTTGCTGTCTTGCCGCCAGCCAATCCCTGCATTGCTGATCGTGGTTTCGAGTATCGATACATAGCCCCTTTTAAACCAACCCATGAACGCGCAATTATCTCAGATAACTCAATCCAGCCATACTAATCATCAGCAACAGCTGCGTTCAAAGAACCGAATTAGCCAGATCCTGATTAGCGCGATCATATCATCTTGGATGTGACGTTTCATCTCGGATGTAATAAGCAATGTACGAAGAACGGGCCCCTGAACTGCAACACCTAAAATAACATGCAAACACAGGCTGCAAATGAAGTGGTATAGGTTTTCACTTCATTTTATTTGAATAGCGCTTTCAGAATATATTGCTTCAAAGATGTTTTAAAGGAAGTAATGCCTTGATTGCCCAGTGAGCAAGTCAAAGGCAACTGTTGCAACAAATAAAATAAAATAAATAAATAACATAAAACCTGCCTAAGATATTAGGGGGGAATGAGGTGAGGAACATATTGATCAACTTTAATAAAAATGAAAACCACACGAGTCAAAAATGTCTCTATTATAGCATTTAGTAGTAAAATGAAATGTAACTAATGGCCATTAACAATAAAGTTATATAGTTAGTTTTTGGGTGTTTCTTGACTTATTTGTATTAAAAATTCATTACAAATACAGTACATTAGCACACTTTCATAATTTATTTATGCTATTTTTATTGTCTCTTACATAACTTTTATTTTAAAATTTTAAAACATTATATATAAAAAAAAAAAAACATTTTTATTGTGAAAAGTATTTGTAAAAAACACATTTATATCACACACACA